AATCAAGGAAAATCTAATGAAGATGTGGTACAGGTGGTACGTGACCCCTGCCAGATGAGCTAAAACATATACAGTGGTACCTCGGGTTAAGAACTTAATTAGTTCTGGAGGTCCACTCTTAACCTGAAACTGTTCTTAACCTGAAGCACTACTTTAGCTAATGGGGCCTCCCGCTGCCGCCACTGTGCGATTTCTGTTCTCATCCTGAAGCAAATTTCTTAACTGAGTTAAGTTCTTAACTATTTATGGGTTAGCGGAGTCTGTAACCTGAAGTGTCTGTAACCCGAGGTACCACTGTAAATTAAAATCAAACACATGTTGGAGATGTAAGACAACGGAAGGAACAAGGTATTGTGTATGGGGGGATGTGATAAAATCCAAAAGTTCTAGAGTAATATCTATGAAGAACTAAAAAAGAGGTTCAAAATAACGTTTGAGAAAAGTCCAGAAGCGTTCCTTCTGGGTATAGTGAAAAAAGAAATCCCCAACGATAAGAAAAAAATATTCTGCCACTATGATTTTAGTGGCCAAAATCTGGAAGGGAGATATAGTCCCATCAGTAGTGGACTGGCAAGTAAAATTTTGTGAATTGATTGAATTGGCCCAAACGACAGCAGCAATCGGATGACAACTGAATCAAAAACTCAGGAAATAATGGGAATGTGTAGAGGAGTCTATGGCAAAACATTGTTCCCAAAGAAACTGACTGATAGGCTGATGTTCGCAAAGTCAGGATAAAAGTTGGAGAAGATTTTATGGGTTTCTATGTTGGACAATAAACTACAGTTAGAACTGGATATGGAACAACTGCTTGGTTCAAAATTGGGAAAGGAGTACGACAAGGCTGTATATTGCCTCCCTTCTTATATGCCCGATAGATCCTGCGAAAGGCTGGACTGGATGAATCCCAAACCAGAATTAAGATTGTTAGAAGAAATATCAACAACCTCAGATATGCAGATGACACAACCTTGATGGCAGAAAGTGAGGAGGAATAAAAGAACCTCTTAATGAGGGTGAAAGAGAGTGCAAAATATGGTCTGAAGCGCAACATCAAAAAAACTAAAATCATGGCCATTGGTCGCATCACCTCCTATCAAATAGAAAGGGAAGAAATGGAGGCAGTGAGAGATTTTACTTTCTTGGGCTCCATGATCACTGCAGATGGTGACAGCAGTCACAAAATCAAAATATGCCTGCTTCTCTCAGGAGAAAAGTGATGATAAAACTAGGCAGCATCTCAAAAAGCAGAGACATCACCTTGCTGACAAAGGTCCTTATAGTTCAAGCTATATTTTCCCAGTAGTGATGTACGGAAGTGAGAGCTGGACCATAAAGAAGGCTGATCACCGAATAATTGATGCTTTTGAATTATGGTGCTGGAGAAGACTCTTGAGAGTCCCATGGACTGCAAGAAGATCAAACCTATCCATTCCGAAGGAAATCAGCCCTGCGTGCTCACTGGAAGGACAGATCCTGAAGCTGAGGCTCCAGTACTTTGGCCACCTCATGAGAAGAGAAGACTCCCTGGAAAAGACCCTGATGCTGGGAAAGATGGAGGGTGCAAGGAGAAGGGGACAACGGAGGACGAGATGGTTGGACAGTGTTCTTGAAGCTACAAACATGAGTCTAACCAAACTGCGGGAGGCAGTGGAAGACAGAAGTGCCTGGCGTGCTCTGGTCCAGGGGGTCACAAAGAGGCACACGACTAAACGACTAAACAGCAACAACAAAAAGTAAAGTAGCCCCTTCATGGATCACTGCCTTGTGGCGAAGGGGCTTGAATAGCCCAAGAAGCTGTGAGCCATGCCGTCAGGGCCACCCAAGATGGACAGGTCATAGCCAAGAGTTGAGACTAAATGTCATCCACCTGGAGAAGGAATTGGCAAACCACTCCAGTATTTTGCCAAGAAAACTCAATGGACATAAAAAAGGAGAAGCTTTGAGAAGAAAAGCGAGAGTTTCTAAGGCGTGCTCTGGTTCATAGGGTCACAGAGAGTCGGACATGACTAAGGCGACTAAACAACAATGTAAAGTACCATATTTTTCCATTTAAAACACTAGGTTTCCCCCCCTAAAAAACAATTTCCAAAATTTGGGAGTGTCTTATACAGTGGTGCCTCGCAAGACGAAAAGAATCCGTTCCGCGAGTCTCTTCGTCTTGCGGTTTTTTCATCTTGCGAAGCAAGCCCATTAGCGGCTTAGCGGCTTAGCGCTATTAGCGGCTTAGCGGTCTTAGCGGATCAGCTGATAAGCGGCTTAGCGGCTTAGCGGATCAGCTGATAAGCGGTTTAGCGGATCAGCTGATAAGCGGCTTAGCGGATCAGCTGATAAGCGGCTTAGCGGATCAGCTGATAAGCGGCTTAGCGGCTTAGCGGATCAGCTGTTAAGCGGCTTAGCGGATCAGCTGATAAGCGGCTTAGCGGCTTGGGAAAAAAGGGGGGGAAGGAAAAAAACCCTGCAGGAACTCGCAAGACATTTTCGTCTTGCGAAGCAAGCCCATAGGAAATTCGTTTTGCGAAGCACCTCCAAAACGGAAAACCCTTTTGTCTAGCGGGTTTTCTGTCTTGCGAGGCATTCGTCTTGCGGGGCACCACTGTACATGGATACATCTCTCTCCCCCAATTTTATTAAACCCAAGTCCCCCCAAATAGGGGGTGTCTTATACATGGGGCATCTTATAGACAGAAAAATATGGTATTTTGCTTTAACACAATATTAAAAGAATATTAAATTAACTAAATTATGCCGAGTACTATTTAGGGGGAGGGAAGTTACGGGGTGGGGAATGTACAATGATATATGGAGATATATTTACAGAATGTCAAGGAAGAAATGTTACAAGATGTTCTCTTTTTTTTTGGAGTGTAATACTGTAATATTATTAAGTGTGCACCCCCCTCCTTGCCCTCCCACCCCCTGTGCCTGTGCTCCACCTAGCCAGCACCAACCCTCTTGCTCAGCTGTTTTTTATCTTCTATTTTGGAAATGTACATCCAGTTCCCCCCCTTTAGTTTTTTTGGGGGCCCACAAGAGAGTTAGTGTGGCCCTAAGCTACAGCTTGTTCAGCTTATACATAAATCCAGCACTGGCATAGATAGATAGATGGATAGATAGATAGAGATGATAGATAGATAGATGATAGATAGAGATAGATAGATAGATAGATAGATAGATAGATAGATAGATAGATAGATATAGATAGATAGATGATAGATAGATAGATTATTAATAGATAGGTGATAGATAGAGGGCTGGATTTAGGGTTGATGAGGCCCTAAGTTACTGAAGTTAATGGGGCCCTTTATATGTCCAGCTGTCCTTTGTCCACAACAATTAATACGTATCTCAAGCCATTTGCACATGTTGCCATCCACCAATCCATTCAGAATGTAGGCACCCTATATATAGAAAGGAGCAAAGCAGTGATAGTTTGTGGAGCAGGTGAGCAGGCAGGGCCCATGACTTACATCATAGGAGCCTACACAACACAAAACAATGTTGCTGTATGTCAGCTTTATTTTATTTGTTTTTTATCTTCTCCTTTGGAAAGGTACATCCAGTTTTTTTCCTGCTTTAATTTTTTTGGGGCCCCCAAGAGAGTGGGGTCCTAAGATGTAGCTTGATGAGCTTATACATAAATCTGGCACTGGCATAGATTAGATAGATAGATAGATAGATAGATAGATAGATAGATAGATGATAGATAGATGATTGATTGAGGGCTGGATTTAGGTTTGATGAGGCCCTAAGCTACCTGAAGGTAATTGGGCCCTTTTTATGCCCAGCTGTCCTTTGTCCACAACAAATTGCCACTTTTTTGTGTTGAATAAATGCTATAAGGTATCTCAAGGCTAATGGGGCCCTTTATATGTCCAGCTGTCCTTTGTCCACAACAATTAATACGTATCTCAAGCCATTTGCACATGTTGCCAGACAACCAGTCCATACAGAATGTCGGCACCCTATATATAGAAATGAGCAAAGCAGTGATAGTTTGAGGAGCAGGCGAGCAGGCGGGGCCTATGACTTATATCATAGGAGCCTACACAACACAAAACACGGTTGCTGTATGTCGGTTTTATTTGTTTTTTATCTTCTCTTTTGAAATGTACATCCAGGTTTTTTTACGTTAATTTTTTTTGGGGGGGGCCAAGAGAGGGGGGCCCTAAACTAGAGCTTGTTGAGCTTATATGTAAAGCAGGCACTGGCTCCACCCAGCCAGCACCAACCCTCTGGCTCAGCTCCTTCCAGATCTTAGTTCCCCTTCCCTGCCTCCTGTGCAAAGAAGCCGCTTCCCAGTCTCTCCTCCTGGGCATCATCCAGGCAGCCGGTCAGAGGATCCTTCAGTGTGAGTCTGTCTGTCTCTCTCCTCTAACACCTCTCCAAGGACATCTTCTAGCCTGAGGGTTAGAAGACAGCTGTCCAAGCCTCTGGCTGCTGCAGGTGACCGTCTCTGTAAGTTCCTTGTTAACTTGGGGAATCCCCCTTCCCCAATGTATGCCGGAGGGAAAGTTTATGCTTCTTTTTATCCAAAAAATTTCCTAGCAGTACTAGAAGGTGGCAAAGAGGGCAGTGTTGTTTCCGGCAGGGTTCCTGTGGGTTGCGAATTAATGTGCCACTTTTCTTTTGCTTTCTGTGATCTGAAATGCTTGGCTCTTTCCATTGGCTGTGCAATGGAAGCGACTCCGTCTCTCAGATTCTCAAATCACCCACTTCTTTCTGAGCCCGTTGTTGGCAATCTCACCATTGGGCAGGGCACCCTGGCTCAGATTCAGAACCCTGGATACTCTTCCATTGCCTTCTTCAGATGAAACCTCCAAATGTTTTATATGCATGTCGCTTCCCTTTGGCTCCATCCCATGGGACCACCTTTGGAGCAGCAGGATCCTGGTCTGCGCCTCAGGACCGTCCAGGCTCGCCTGCATCCCCCCCTCCTCCTCCTCCCCTCCCACCTCACGCTCCAATGCTCCACCCAGCCAGCACCAACCCTCTGGCTCAGCTGCTTCCAGATCTTAGTTCCCCTTCCTTCCTCCTGAGCAAAGCAGCCGCTCCCCAGTCTCTCCTCCTGGGCATCATCCAGGCAGCAGGTCAGAAGTGAGTCTGTCTCAGTGTGAGTCTGTCTGTCTCTCTCCTCTAACACCTCTCCAAGGATATCTTCCAGCCTGAGGGTTAGAAGACGGCTGTCCAAGCCTCTGGCTGCTGCAGGCGACTGTCTCTGTTAGTACGTTTCTTGCTAGTTTGGGTAATCCCCCTTCCCCAACTTATTCTGGAGTGAAAGTTTGTGCTTCTTTTTATCCCAAAAAATTCCTAACAGAACTAGAAGGTGGCAAAGGGTGCGATGTTGTTGCCGGCAGGGTTCCTGTGCATTGTCAGTTGCCAACAAATTAATGTCAACTTTTCTTTCGCTTTCTGTGATCTGAAATGCTTGGCTCTTTCCCTCGGCTGTGCAATGGAAGGGGCTGCCTCTCTCAGGATCTCAGAATCGCCCCATTTTCTCTGTACCCATTGGCAATTTCACAATCGGGCAGAGCCAGGGCCGGATTTAGGTTTGATGAGGCCCTCAGCTACTGAAAGTCATGGGGCCCTTGATCTCTCCAGCTGTCATTTGCCAACAACATTTTGTCACTTTTTGTGTGTGTTGAATGTGTGCTATATGGTCACTGATGGACCTAATAGGTATCTAAAGCCATTTGCACATAACAAAATATAGGTAGGTAGCCTTGTTGGTCTGACAGTCAAAATAAATAAAAAAATTAAAAAATTGACCAGTAGCACCTTAGAGACCAACTAAGTTTGTTCTCGGAAACAGAAGTCCCCAGACCCTGATATATAGAGGGAGGGTGGGGCGGGGGTTTTCTCCGAAGGGTAGTAGTATGAGTATGGTCAACCTGTTGGCGACTGTGAATGACTGCAATTAGTCCTGCAGGAAAAAGCAAGGGATGGTATGCAGATGACCCAAAATAGCTTTAGCATATGCAATGAGACAGGAATCGAATATCTCTATTCAGACCAGGTCTCTCCATAGTTTTCAGCTGAGTGATAAGTTACAATTCAGCCACTTCTCTCTCAAGTCTATTTCCGAAATTCTTTTGCAGTATGACAGCTGCTTGGAGATCCTGCGTTGAATGTCCCAGGAGATGGCAGTGTTCTCCTCCTGGCTTATCTGTCTGGTCTGAATAGAGATATTGGATTCTGGTCTCATTACACATGCTAAAGCTAATTTTGGTCATCTGCCCAGGTTGACCATACCCACTGAGTCCTACTACCCTCATGAGAAGGGACGCGGGTGGCGCTGTGGTCTAAACCACTGAGTCTAGGACACAGCAGCCAGATGCTCAGCCAGATGTTGCAGGGCCTGTTTATTTCCCTTCCCACTTGTAGGGACGCAGTGGGGCATGGTGGTTTTGTAACATGGAGAGCACAGCACAAAAACCAAATGTTTTCCCTGTAGAGAAGGAAGTGGTGGAGATCACAGAATTGCAGAGTTGGAAGCCCTTACAATGGCTTAGGCATGGCTTCCTTCTTTCTTTGGCGATCCCTTGTAGCCGAGTCAGATTGTTTTCCATTAACACGGTTTTAGCAATGAGTCCGTAAGTGACCGTGGAGGCCAATTCTATATCCACACGTCCTTCCACAGTGGGGACATTGGTTTCTGGGCGGGAGTTGATCCTGCAAGTGTGTTTCTCCCTTGCATCCAGAGTTTGAGTGTCTTCAAACCCCACTGACACCTTTGGTCAAGGCTGTTCTCCCATTGGAGCTCTCGCAGGCCAGTGTTTCCCAGTTGTCAGTGTTTATACTACATTTTTAAAGATCTGCCTTGAGATCTTTCAACCTCTTTTGTGGACCACCAGCATTATGCTTTCCATTTTTAAGTTTGAAATAGAGTAGTTGCTTTGGAAGACGATCATCAGGCATCCACACAACATGACCAGTCCAAAGTTGATGTTGAAGAATCATTGCTTCAACACTGGCGATCTTTGCTTCTTCCAGGACGCTGGCATTAGTTCTCCTGTGTCTTCCCAAACTTTTTGGAGGCCCCGTTTATGGAATCTTTCGAGGAGTTGGAGACGGCGTTGATAAGTGGTCCATGTTTCACAAGCAGACAGTCAGGGTGGTAGTACCATAGCAAATTTGGGTTTCCCTGCAAATGTCCCAGTCCTCAAATACTCTGCTCTTCATTCGGGAGAAAGCCGCACTCGCAGAGCTCAGGCAGTGCTGGATTTCAGCATCAATGTCGGCCCTTATGGAAAAATAACTCCCTAGGTAGGAGAAGTGATTGACACTTTCCAACATTACACCATTGAGCTGGATTTGTGGCGCTGCAGAGGTATTATTTTGTGCTTGTTGGTGCAGCTCTTTGGTTTTTTGCATGTGAAGCGACAGGCCAAGCTTTTTGTAAGCTTCTGTGAAGATATTTAGGGTGGTTTGGAAAGCAAAGAGCCGAGTTCCAAATTTTGGAACCAAATATGGCTTGAATCGTTTTAGGGTTGTGCCTGGAAGAGAAATACAGTCATACCTCGGGTTAAATACACTTCGAGTTGAGTGCGTTCGAGTTGTGGTCCGCGGCAAGCCAGAAGTAACGGAGCGTGTTACTTCCGGGTTTTGCCGCATGCGCAGACGCTCAAAATGACATCACGCGCATGCGTAGAAGCGGCGAAAAGTGACATGCATGTGCGAAGACGTGCCATCACTAGATACATTTACCTCTAGATGCGAATGGGGCTCTGGAACGGATCCCGTTCGTATCTAGAGGTACCACTGTAGATGTGTTTAGGGTTACAGTGGCAGCAGCAGTAACAAAGACAAACAGCTCCTTTCACATTCCTAAATGTGTCCAAGTTCTGATGTCAGCTTAAAGGCTTAGGCTGCAGTGAGTAAATATGCATAGGAATCAGATGATGGGATTCAGCTGCTAATTATGCCAGGATTATGCCACTCCCAATTTGTCCACTCCTGCTGGCCTTTGCAAAAACTTCATAACCCAAATCTAGTGCTAGAGTTTGCTCTTTTCTTCCTCCCTCATCCTCCCTTTTCCTTTTGTGTCATGTCTGTTAGAAGGAAACACAGGTGTTTGTAGGTTTTTTTGGAAGCTCTTATTTTTTTTTTAGCCAGGTAAGATTGTCTTCCATAAATACGGTTTTAACCATGACTTTGGAGGCCAATTCTGGATCCCCACATCCTTCCACAGTGGGGACATAGGTTTCTGGGCAGGAACACACACACACCAGCCTGTGCTAAGGTGCCAGTCCAGATTGGGGGGCCATGCTGTGGCAGTTTAGTTTGAAAACCTCATTGGCACAAATTGTGAATTGCACAAACGGTGCCACGTCGATGTAGGCCTTGACACAACCTTTTTTTAGTAAGGCAACAAGACTACTCCACCCCAGGCAGGAAAAGGGACATATGGAAAGCAGCTATTTACAAGGGGCCAGCAGTCAGAGTGTTTTAAGTCACCTGGGCTGTGCATGTGTGTGCTCTAACTCTTGGGCAGCCTTTCCCAATTTGGTGCTATCTGAAATTTCATGCATATCAGTTAATATCTTGACCCTGCTCCGCTGAATTGACATTTCAGCCTTCACGACATAGGAAAATGGCCAAGTAAACAGCTATTTTCATGGAGGAGGGTCAAGATATTAACTGATATGCATGAAATTTCAGCTATAGCTATATAATCCCTAGTGTGGTAAGATAAGACCTTGGGAGCAGGCATTTTTTTTAAAAAAAATTATGAACCGCCATATATATATATATATTCATATTCATATTGCAAGTCTTTATTTCATTTTATTATTATAACATGGAATCTATGCTCTAAGATATACAGAATATACAATGTAAGATGTGATATTGATAAAGTTCCCGTTTTCCATTCTGTGTCTATCTTGTTCTGTTATCATGGCTTCCCTCCACCACAGCTAGACCTTCTTGGTATATTTTAAACTAGTCATTGTGTTTTTTATATATATAGTGGTTACTTGAACCCCCAGAATGATCTTACAGTCTTACAATAACTTCCCCAAACCTTTACAAACTCAGTCCATACATATCAAGAAATTGGAACAATGTTTTGTCATATATTCTTCTAAGCCAGGGGTGGCCAACTCCCAAGAGACTGTGATCTACTCACAGTGAAAAACTGGCAGGGATCTAGGTCAGAGTTGTTGAGCTTTTTTTAGGAGGAAAAGCCCCATTTTTGGGGGTTCAGGTCACGACATGCTTGTTCTAATCAGTTCCATATTAAGTTTTTGTTTCCACTGAAGTCGCTGTCATTTTATCCGGTTCTTTAAATTCACATACCGTAGTTTTTGCTCTATAAGACTCACTTTTTCCCTCCTAAAAAGTAAGGGGAAATGTGTGTGCGTCTTATGGAGCGAATGCAGGCTGTGCAGCTATCCCAGAAGCCAGAACAGCAAGAGGAATTGCTGCTTTCGCTGCACAGCTATCCCTCTTGCTGTTCTGGATTCTGAGATTCAGAATATTTTTTTTCTTGTTTTCCTCCTCCAAAAACTAGGTGCGGTAATTTGTTTAACCAATCCTCTATTGAGGGGACAGTGCCCCCTTTCCAATTTTTAGCTATCAACAACCTGCCAGCAGCCGTGGCATTTAGAAACACTTTTCTTGTCATTCAGGATGTCTTTTGTAACAATACCTGTTAGGAATGCTTCTGGCCTTTTCTCAAAGGATGTTTCAAACATCTTTTATAGTTCTTCATAAATTGTATTCCAGACTGCTGCCCCCCCATTTTTTCGCATCCCCACCATATGGGAAACATCGTTCCTTCTGCTCTGTTGAATCTCCAACTTCAGTTGGATTTTAATTTGTACATTTTAGCAAGTCCGGTTGGGGTCATGTCCAACCTGTGCATCATTTTCATTCGGTTCTCCTTAATTGTGTAACAGGCAGTCAATCTAATATCTCGCCTCCATAGCTTTCCCCACTGCTCTGGGATATTCATGCATAGTGACTGCACGTTCTTTCTTTCTTTCTTTCTTTCTTTCTTTCTTTCTTTCTTCTTCTCTCTCTCTCTCTCTCTCTCTCTCTCTCTCTCTCTCTCTTTTCTCCTCTCGCCTCCATTGCTGCCAAAATA